GTTCCCTTTTGGTTTCATTTTTCAAGTTTAAACCCAAAGGGCAACCCACCCAAAATTTCCCAAAACTAACGGGTTTTCTCTGCTTTGGTGAGGGGAAATTTTCGGGGGAAATATTTTTTAATATAAGCAAAGGGAAAATTTAATTTGTTTTTAAACCATTTAACGTCCCGTTTTTTTAAAGCGTGAACTCGACCTTTTTAGTTTTTGGGAAACCCAAATTTGCGGGTTTTCCCCCAGTTTCCAGTAACAGATTTTTTGTTTAAAAAGCCTTTTTCCTAACCCCATACCCATAATTATTGATTATGATTTTGGTAAACGATCATCTCTTTTTTTTTCAAAAGTCCCAAGGTTTAACTGGTTAAAAAAATTAATAAGTTTTAAGTTAATAATTATAAGGGGAAAGGCCAAAATTTTTTTTTTAACAAATTTTTTTTTAAAAAAGCCCCTTTAAAAAATTTCCCCTTTTGTTTGAGGTTTGCATATCTATCGATCAAATTTAAAAGAATTTGGTTTAATTTAAATTCTTTCAAGTTTGGGATCCAAATTATATAATTTATTTTTTTTACTGTTTTTGGGAAAGCAGAATAAATTTTCCCCAAAACACGAATAAACAAAATTTTTTCAAACCCTTTTGCACGTGCAAACTTTGAGCGGGGCTTGCGGTGCGTATTTCAATAAAAGAAACCCGGTTTAAAATTTTTTGGGAGAGTGGAAAATTTTAAAATATAGTTTATAAAACATCCCAAATTTCAAGGGGAAAATTTTTAAAAAGAAATTGAATCACCAAAAGGGACCCCCAAAAGTTGAAAAAAAAAATCGTGGGGGGGGGAAAACCCAAAAAAATTTCCCGTGATTTTTTTGCTATTTTTAAAAACAAATTTTGGGGGTGACCCCACGTGTGCAAAATTTTCGATTTCAAAATTTAAAAATAGCCCTTTTTAACACAATTTAGACCTTTTGGAAGCAAAAATTTAGGGTCCACAATCCCCAAGGGGTGGCCCCCAAAACCCGAGAATTTTTTAAAAACCCCAAAATTTTGTTGGTTTTATAAAATTGTTCTTCAAAAAAACCATTAAATTTTAAAAAGCAAATATCCCTTTTTTGAAGGAAAACAAGGTGGGAAAATTTTCCCGGTAGATTTTCAGAATGCTTGAACAATTATCTAAGATGAAAATGGGCCTTTAGATTTTTTAAATTTTAAAATTACTCCTTTAAAGGTTTTTTTTTTTTAAAACGATTTGAAAAGTTTTTTATACTTTGTTTTAAAAAAAAAAAAAGTTTTTTAAAAAAAACTTAATTTGATGACGTCATCAAGTGATTTGAAAGGGCCCTTTTTTTAAATTTTTTTTTTAATATAAAGGGAAAAAAGAAGGTTAAAAAACAATTTAAACCCTTTAAGCTTGTGGTTCAAAAAAGGGCTGTATCTTTTTTTTTACTTTTTTTAATCTACGGACACTTAAATGTAGGGTACAATTGACTTGGGCCCAAATTTTACTGCCAAAGCGCCCCTTTTTATATCCCTTCTTTTATATGCTTCACCCACAATCTGTTTTTAAAAAACAGGGGGTTCCCGGGGAAAAAACCCCCCCTTCCCCGATACTCCCGAAAAAAATTTTAAATTTTTTTTTTTCTGTCGATTTGGACGGCCCAGGGCGCCCTGCAAAGTTTTTTAGATTCTAACTCAATTTTTTAAAGGTTTTTTTAAAGGGACCTGAAAAATTTGGGGATTTTGGGGGGGTTTTTTCCCAATTTGTATAACATTTCGGGGCGTATTTTGCGCAAATTTCTTAGAAAACCCCCACCCCAAAAATATTTTTTATTTTCCCGTCACTTTAACAAACGGCTTACAATGGGGGGGAAACAGTTTAAAGGGGGGGAAATAAATAAAGGGGGGGAAATAGTTAAAGGGGGGAAAAATTAAAGGGGGGGAAAAGGGGGTTTTTTAAATTATAGTTAAAAGGGGGGGAAATAGAAAAGGGGGGGGGGGAAAAAAGAAAGGGGGGGAAAAATAGTTAAAAAAGGGGGGGGGAAAAAAGAAAAAGGGGGTTTAAAAAGTAAAAGGGGGTAAATAGTAAAGGGGGGGGGGAATAGTAATTTTTGAAAAAAGGGGGCGGTTTATTCTTGCCAGCCCTTTTTGATATAGCTTCAAAAGACAATCTGTTTTAAAAACCCGGGTTTTCCCGGGGAAAACCCCCCTTCCCCCTTAAATCCTGCAACATGAAATTTTTTTTTTCAGTCGATTTTGGAAAAAGGTTTTTTTGAAAGCCCCCCCTTTCAAAGTTTCAGATCCCCCTAACTCAATTTTAAATGGTTTTTTAAAAACACCTGAATATGGGGGATTTTTGGGGTTTTTTCCCCCAAAATTTTGTAAAAACCCTGCTGGCGGGGTAATTTTTCGCAAAATTTTCCCTTTAAAAACCCCCCACTTAAAATATTTTTTATTCCTGTACATTAACATTGAATTTGAATGTTTTGAAAATTTTAAAAAATTTCCTGCTGAAAACTTTCGAAAGAGTTTTTTAAGCCGGGGGAAAAAAATAAAAAGGGGGTAAAAATTGTATGGGGGGGTAATAGTGTTGTGAATATTAGGGCAACACGGTTTATGCTTGCCAGCATTGTGATTATCTTAATCTCTTGAGTCTTGACACCATTTTAGGGTTATACGGGTTCCTGCTAGAAATAGTAAAGGGGGTAAATAGTATTGTGAATATAAGAGCGACGGTCATGCTTGCCAGCATTGTGATTAGAGCTGGCACAGAATTTATAGACACTGTTATTAAACATGGAAACAGGCACAACTAACATACCAAACCTTACAGTAAGGCAAGGTGATGACCATGCGGCCTTCCTAGTTTTCCACCTCTTGCCATCCTACACATACCATAAAATACATACCTTATAGCACTGCACTTAGAAACTTCAAACTTGCTTCTGAGCATGATGAGAACATACAAGCACGAGTACAATACACTAGCTATCTTGAGGCAACACTAACTTAATTAACCAGGCCTTTGATAAAGTGGAAACCAAGAGCAGGCTCTCCTATTAGTATTATCAACAACTGAGACAGAAGGAGGATGACAGTAGCAAAGGGAGACTCATTCCCCTTATAACAGATTTCAACCCAGGTCTCCCCAACATAGGACGGGTACTAAACTCCCACAAGCACATCCATCGTCTAGATCTCGAGCTTTGCAAGGTGATTGACCCTAATGGTATTTTCACTTCTTTTAGAGGGACAAAAACACTTCAGGATATTCTTATTCATAGCAAACTCCCTCCTGTTGAAGAGCAAGCTGTAGAAGATCCAGGCCACGCCTCTCCAGACACAGCTGAGGATTCTGATTCTGGAGGTTGCTTCCCTTGTGCTAAGAAATGTGATCTCTGCAAAAACTTCCTGAAACCATCAACCACCATCGGCAGTCTTCACACCGACCAAGTATTCAGTATCAAAGGACGATTGGACCAATGGTCTATGGGCATGTAAGGTTTGTTCATTGAATGTGATACCACACTACAACCCCTTCTCTGGGATGATTAGTGATGGTGGTCATAAATTCTACGATGATGAAGGTGGATGTGACGACGAAACTATTCAAAAAATTTCGAATGTTCTAGACCAATGTCAGATCTACTCTACAACTGATCTTAATGGGGTAGTCAGGGAGCTTCAAAACTCATGTAATCTTTCATCCACACATAACACTCAAAATTCACATCCTACTTTGTCAACTTAGTTGGTAACAAAACCAACTTCGATTGTCTTAATGTTGAACTCAAACGGATTGAACTAAATTTATCTGTAATTGGTATCGCTGAAACAAACACAGATGAACCTCTTAAAGAACTATACAGAATATCGCAATACAACAGTTTTTATCAGGTCACTTAGGAAAACAAGCTGAAAGGGACTGGTGTTGCCCTCTATATAGCAAATCACCTTAATGCAGAAGTCATAGAAAATCTTGGCTACTGCACGCCTGATATTGAATCAATCTTTGTTAAGATCACTCAATCATCCAGCAAGCTCACACTCATCTCAGAGGTCATCTATCGCCCTCCAAATGGTGACATTCATAATTTCCTTAAGTCATTTGATCACATATGTAAACTCCTCCTAAATCTGGTGTACGTATAATGGGGGACTTTAACGTTGACCTTCTTAAAGCGAATGGCGACGCTGGTCATGACAACTATAGTCTTTTTGAAGAATGCTTATTTAGAAATGGTTTCGCCCCCGTTATTTCGATACCTACACATTAGAGACCAAATTGCAAACCATCTTGTATTGACAACATCCTCACAAATGATCCTGGTAACTGCATGTTCTCTCAGGTTGTATAACAGATAGAATTGGTGACCATGCTCCAACATTTAAATTCACTGACATCGAATTTGAGGTTAGACTAAGCATATGTAAACAAAGGGAGAACTTTTGGCAATTAACCAGCTTAAAAATTTAAAACACTTTGGAGGGATGAATGTTAGAGAAGAAAAATGATTTTTTCCTGCATATTTTATTTTCTCACCTCTACCACTCATTTGGGATTTTCACCAACCAATAATTTGAATTGCTGAGTTACGTAAATTTCTAAATTTTTAATTTCTATTTATTTGATTGATTGCACGATTGATATTTTTAATAAATTTACTAACATGTCTTTATATCAGGATGACTGTGAAGGTATATTTTACCGATATTTAAAGTCAACGCGTTGTTTTACTGACAGTAGTGGCTGACTAACAATATACGTATTTTAAGTTCCGTAAATTAATTCTTTTGTTCATGAATTATTCGAAAATATCCGCTTCTATAAAATTTGAATGAAAAAGACAGGAATATTCCATTTATACACGTTACTGTACAAAACTATTTCATCCTTGATAGATTTTTTCTCGAAAGAAATTATTTTCAGGAAGCACCTGTAGATATGAATCTTTCAAATGAAGATTTTACATCTATAAAAACTCGGAATTGGTACGTTTTATAAGAAAATTACCTGGGCAAGGGTCTTCGTTACATGTTTGAGTTTCGGAATCGTCTCCTTCACATTCTTTACCACCATTACTGGGAGCAGGGTCGTTACATTGTCTGGTTTTGGTTTGGGTTCCTCCGTCACACTCAGCAGAGCACTTAGACCAATCTCCAAAAGCACTGTATCCTCCATCAACTGAAATTAGATAGAATGTAATTTGACCAAAACCCATAATCATGGGTAGAGTGGACCGCTGCCAGTGTCTCTCTTTCCCAAACAAAAGGAAATGATATTAATTTGATTGACCGTTTTCAAATGCAAAATGATACCGAGAATGAAATCGGTCGCTCGCTTTTCCCATTCATTCACGGCTTATACGAATTGCAATAGGTTTCGATAAATTACATCGATCACATGCTGTAATAATCTCTTTGGGTTGCGTTCGGGTCGATACCTAGTATTTCGGGATAAGGGTGGTAGTTAGTGAATTAGCTGAAGTTTATTGAATCTTTATTGCCGAGTACAGCTGTCTTCGGGTATGGTAGTTCTTCTTAATCTATTACATTTGTAAATGAATGGGAAAAGCGAGCGACCGATTTCATTCTCGGTATCATTTTGCATTTGAAAACGGTCAATCAAATTAATATCATTTCCTTTTGTTTGGGAAAGAGAGACACTGGCAGCGGTCCACTCTACCCATGATTATGGGTTTTGGTCAAATATCATCGCTTTTTGATTAATGTCAGGGTACTTTATAAAGTCGAAATATAAACTGATATCTTCATTAATAAGGAGGAAGTTTCAACGATTTCGAAATTTTTCCTTTGAAAACATTTCCTTGTGTTTGGGTAAGCATATCGGTCGATCACTGACTGAATTTGCCACTTTATACTCATTCAAGTTGGCATTAAATTTATATATAATGACATTGAACTGTCGTGGTAAAGCAGAATTTGTTCGAAATCACGAATGAGCAAAATTATCACCTTTCGCACGTGCAAACTATGAGCGGACGTTGCGTGCGCATCCAATATTGAATCGCCGTAAATTTTTGCGTGTTGGTGTTTTATATATAGTTTGATAAGCATGCAAAGTTTCAAAGTATTTCAAGAAGAACTGTAATCACAACGGCACACCAAAAACAGCAATTTTCAGTGATTTTAGCAATTTTTAATCAATTTGGGCGTGTCCCCACGTGTGCAACTTTTAGATTTTTAACTTTAAAACTAGCCTAATACACAATTTATACCTATAGGAAGCAGAACTGAGCTCCAAAACCCAAGGGATAGCCCAACACCAGAGAATACTAAATCGCAAAATTGACGTTTTTATAAAATAATTCTTCAAAAAAGCACTAACTTCAATGGCAAATATCTTTATGAAGGAGCAAGGTAGGGAAACTTTCCGGTAGATTTTCAGAATGCTTGAACAATTATCTAATGTGAAAATGTCCTCAGATTTTGAATAAAATTACTCCTTAATGGTGTAAAATCAGTTTGAAAAGTTGTTATTTTGTCAAAAAATCAAGTTTTAAAAACACTTAATTTGATGACGTCATCAAGTGGTGATGATGACGTTAAATTATTTTTTGATATAATTGAAACTGAAGTGTAAACAATTATCTTTAAGACCTGTGGTCGGAAATTGCTGTATCTTTTATACTTTTGAATCTCCGGACACTTAAATTCAGGCTACAATTGACTACATTTGACTGGCAAAGCGTCTATCCCTGAATATATGTATCACGACAATCTATCGTAAAACAGGGGTTCCAGAAAACCCATTTCCCGATACTCCTGAAACACGAAATTTTTTTTACAGTCGATTTGGTCAACGTCTAGACGCCTTGCAAAGTTTCAGATCTTTAACTTAATTTTAACATGGTTTTTAAGGCACCTGAATATGGCAATTTTGGGTTTTTTACCGAATTTCGTATAACATGCTGGCGCGTATTTTGCGCAAATTTCTTAACAACCTCCACATAACTATTTCTTGTTCCTGTCATCTTTAACATTGAATTAGAATGATTGTAACTTAAATATACCTGCTAAACTACTTTCGATGAGTCTTAATGCCCGAAAAACAATAAAGGGTTATAAAAGTAAAGGGGGTAAATAGTAAAGGGGGTAAATAGTAAAGGGGGTAAATAGTAAAGGGGGTAAATAGTATTGTGAATATAAGAAGCACGGTCATGCTTGCCAGCATTGTGATTCCTATCACAATAATATGGCTGCCATCAAGATATGCATTTTAAGTTCCGTAAATTAATTCTTTTGTTCATGAATAATTCGAAAATATCCGCTTTTATAAAATTTGAATGAAAAAGACAGGAATATCCCATTTATACACGTTACTGTACAAAACTATTTCATCCTTGATAGATTTTTTCTCGGAAGAAATTATTTTCAGGAAGCACCTGAAGATAGGAATCAGAATCTTTCAGATGAAGATTTTACATCTATAAAAACTCGGAATTGGTACGTTTTATAAGAAAATTACCTGGGCAAGGGTCTTCGTTACATGTTTGAGTTTCGGAATCGTCTCCTTCACATTCTTTACCACCATTACTGGGAGCAGGGTCGTTACATTGTCTGGTTTTGGTTTGGGTTCCTCCGTCACACTCAGCAGAGCACTTAGACCAATCTCCAAAAGCACTGTATCCTCCATCAACTGAAATTAATTTAGATAGAATGTAATTTCTATATCACAAAAATATGGCTGCCATCAAGATATGCATTTTAAGTTCCGTAGATTAATTCTTTCGTTCACGAATAATTCGAAAATATCCGCTTTTATAAAATTTGAATGAAAAAGACAGGAATACCTTATCTGACCTTATTTGGACGGACATTAAATGAACGCTGGACTTGGAGGCCCTATAAATGTTCATCTTAATGTCCGTTCAAATAAATTCCGTTCATTTAAGGTCCGTCCAAGTTAAAGTCCGCTGAATTTTTTTCAAAAAATTTCCACTTCGAATTTTTTTGTCCAGAATATGACAACTATGATAACTTTATTGTGTCGTAAGTTAACGACGGAAAGGTTCTCTTTGGTCTGCCGGAGGCACAGAAAACTTTACTAGTATATGATTTTTTCAAGGGTCACTTGGCGGAAAAAGTCTCTTTTCCACCCTATCAACTTATCCAACTTTTAACCTGCTACAGCTACGGCGTTTTTAATTCAGAGGAATAAATGTTACGAATGGCATTTATTTCTAAACAATTTTACGGTAAATCCCAGCTTTTTCTCATGACCGAGTGACACCAAGCTCAGTGAGCATATCGACTCATGACGATACTGGAAACTTCTGGGGTTTCATGTCTAGGTGCGGAAAAGGTGCAGAAGACTACCTACTCCACGATGGAATCAGAAACAATACAATAGAGAGAGAGAGAGAGAGAGAGAGAGAGAGAGAGAGAGAGAGAGAGAGAGAGAGAGAGAGAGAGAGAGAGAGAGAGAGAGAGAGAGAGAGAGAGAGAGAGAGAGAGAGATAGAGAGAGAGAGAGAGAGAGAGAGAGAGAGAGAGATAGAGAGAGAGAGAGAGAGAGAGAGAGAGAGAGAGAGAGAGAGAGAGAGAGAGAGAGAGAGAAAGAGAGAGAGAGAGAGAGAGAGAGAGAGAGAGAGAGAGAGAGAGAGAGAGAGAGAGAGAGAGAGAGAGAGAGAGAAAGAGAGAGAGAGAGAGAGAGAGAGAGAGAGAGAGAGAGAGAGAGAGAGAGAGAGAGAGAGAGAGAGAGAGAGAGAGAGAGAGAGAGAGAGAGAGAGAGAGAGAGAGAGAGAGAGAGAGAGAGAGAGAGAGAGAGAGAGAGAGAGAGAGAGAGAGAGAGAGAGAGAGAGAGAGAGAGAGAGAGAGAGAGAGAGAGAGAGAGAGAGAGAGTTTGGGGCAAAGAACAGCACCAGTGAATTGGGGTTATGTTTCTTCACATAATTGTGAAATGACCGCGGTAAATCGGGGTTTGCGCGGTAAATGAAAATCCCAAATTGATGCGCGGTGAATCGGGGTTTTACTATACACATTATTATGCTGTAAAAAACATTTGCAATTTCCATAACCGGGAGTTCTACTAGATAATCCAGGGTATAAATTCTACTAGAATTTTACGATCACGAAGACTTCAACACGACGTATCGTATTGTATACAATAATTTTCAAATCAAATATAATAGATAGCTAGATTTGTAATTAGTTTTAAAATACTAATTACAACACTAACAAGAATTTCGCCGCGGTAACACCACGCACGATCAAATTTCCCTACTGCCTACAATGTTATTGTTCTACTTTATTGTATCCCAGAGTGGTGTTTGGCGCACGTGATAATCGTTTATATTATATTAGGCGTGCAGAACTTGAACAAGAAATGCGGCCGCTTTTCTTTTGTGGATGGCCGCTCAATTTCCCGATCCGGGATGAAGTATTCTATCATATTCCATACCAGTACCACCTGGGGACCCCAGTCTTTGCTGTTTATAAGCATGCAGATATGGCGGAGTGACAGGCCGAGCGCCGCCCAGTTGATATAATTCTATATTGAATTTGAAAATCGTGTATATTTCTATGTAACTATATGTTTATTGTTTATGCAACCTGACACGGATCTGTGCAAAATAGTAATACTAACTCAAAATAATAATACAATGCTATCAATTAGTCCCTATCGGGATGCGTACATGGTAAAATTAACAATGTACTTGAACATTTCAGCACCGCGCGCCAACAATTGTTTAATTCAGATGATCGCGCAAAATAACTTTGCGCAGGCAGACACGTGGGCGATAACTAGACTGGGGGCGAGGGCACGCACGCACGCACGCACGCACGCACGGTCGCAAAGCTACCATATAAAAAAGAAACCTCGATCGCTAACCCTTGTCCTTGACTCTTTTGTGCCTTCGGCACTTTGAGTCATGGATCGGGAAAAAATTCTGCGCGCATCTGAGGTGTCGCCGTCGATCTGTGTATGTGGTTTGGTTGTAGATCATTTCATACTTTGCGCGGTTTTGTTTCGTGTTAATAGCAATAACGATGCGTATCATGTCACCGGTCACGTCATATTACTGCATCGTATGCCAACTTTATTGACTTGTGACTGTAATAAAATATTCTGCCTCGTCTTAGTTATTATTTTTATCTAATATAAACTAATACATTATGATGCTTACTCGACACATCTATACTTATAGCACCATTGATTTTCGAGCCTTTTATTTGATATACGAATACGATTCTTTAAAAGCATACCGCAATCTTGATATTAGCTCCTTGAATGTAAATGTAAAGTAACATCTGTTCTCAACTATGTATTTCTATGCTTTTTACCATTCAGTGTCGATTAACTGTATAATAATCAGCCACGAGTTTATCAGCTGATATCATAATTTTATTTGTTTTGACTTGCTGAATTTTATCACTCGGTAATTAATTAAGCTTGTCTCACCAAAATAACACTTAAATTTATGATTGATCCGTGTGTAACAGTCGTCAAGCACCAAAAACTGGTTGCTATGCCTGTAATTAAATAACACATAACTGGCGTCGCGCGCGCAAAATAGACTCCTTTTATACACATAATTATAGGGGAGCGGTCTATATTGCGAAGGAGCAGACTTTTGTCGACATCGTAGGACCGCCGGGCCACCTCATATATCCAAACCCGATTACTTATTCCCTACGATCTTTTTGCCTTCGGCAAGAGTAGGGAAAAAAATCTATTATAATTAGATGTACTTTGTGGATGACCGTAAAAAGCCGAAACTACAGTTAAGTCGCAATTAACGGGTACGGTAGATTCGAGGTACGTCGTTTTCATGTTTCCATAATCTGCACCATTAATCTAGGGGATAATAAATATGGCAAAGTTTACTCACCTTTGCATTCGTAGTTACAGCTTTCCAGTTTTCTTTCCATAGCAGAACATTTCTTTTTTCCCTTCTTTTTCAATTTCAATTCAGATGAGGACGCACACCCAAGGTTTGAAGTAAATCCTGAGTGTATTATTTTAAATAAAATGGTTTGATAGAACTGCAGGCTGGTGTTCTTCTGTTCTTGGAGGCAACTAGGTACATAATATTGGAATTTATTTGAACATTACCATGGATTCTTATTGTGCGGACTATTAGTATTAGTGAAATGTGGCCATATCGTTCATATTTATAAATCATGACCGTTCAAATATTAAGTCCGTCCGTGAATTACAGTCTTTTCAACTCAAATGTCAAAGTTCATTCAAATATTTTCCCAGACGCATTCCACTGCAAATTTATTATCTTAGATATTTCTACTTTTTAATTTCAGTAAATTTCAGTTTCTAATTCTACGGACTAAATTAAAAAAATTGTTTGAAAAAGTTAAATAAGTAACAAGATTTGTCATAATGTTAATGGGATCATTTTCTACGGCTTTTTGTAATGTTTATAATTATATAATCATGTGCCAAAATGCCCCCTCCTGTACTACTGACTGTTCTAGTTTTACTACTAGATACATGGTTATTGCTGGGAAAGTCTTACCAAGATTGAGACATTTCTTTTTGTACTTCTTTACCATCTTTTTCATTTGTTTATTGGAAAGATTGCAGTCATTTGCAGCAGTCAGCTCAAAAACAATCAACAAAAAAGTCAACTTGACAAAAACCGTAGCCATTGTGATTTTTTACTAGTAGTAGTTACTAGGTGGTACAAAACTATCAACACACCGATAGAGAGATAAATGATAAGTGAAACTGTGAGTTGAAGATGTTGAAGATGTTGTCGCATAGTGCCATACTCCGCATGAGGGCGGGAATGATAATAACAATAACACAACTCAGTGGCGTAACTTAGGGCCCCGCAGACCCCGCTGTGCGGGGGGGCGCCGTATAAGGGGGGCGCAATTTTCCTGAATTTTAGGCCCTTTCACTGAAAAAACGCCTTGTTTGTGTATTTCCCTGTCCAATTTAGCGTTCGGTCGACGCGAAAAAAATATTTGGGGTACCCTTTTTTGCTTCAGGGGGGCGCAAAAAGCCTTAGGGGGCGAGAAAAAAAGTACCCGACCTTTTTTTTTTTTTTTTTTTTTTTTTTTTTTTAAGGGACACAAAAAATTTTAGGTGGGCGCTTTCACTGAGCGGGGGGGGGGCGCCAAAAGGCAAAGTTACGCCACTGACACAACTAATTAAGTATCCTTTCATCTCCTCCGCTATTGTCTCCGGAGCTTACTCAAATTAACAAAAAGGTTGGTAGATATTTCAATTTGTCCTTAACAATCACTGGTTGACTGTATAATGTATGATATCAGGGAGTTTAACTTTATCTCCAGGTTAGAGCCTCATGAGACTAAGTGTCCGTTAAAATGTTGTGAAACAGCTCATGTTCAGTGGTTCCCGTACTGTAGTGCGACACGTGCCCTAGTGCGACACGTACCATGTTCAGGGGCGCAACGTTGGCGCCTGTTTTCACGTCTCTATCATCATTAAAAAGTGCACATCTTTACAAACTTAGAGATAGTTGTTACTGAGCTGGCAAGTAAGTAGTAACAGTTTTAAAGAGAGGCACTCTAAACAATTGGATCTTACTAGAGCACCGAAGTAGTTAAGTTTGGAATTTAGCCAAGTTTGGAAAGTTATCATTATCAACTCCACCGATACAATTACAAAGGAATTTAGCAGAAGCTGAATTGACCAAAACCCATAATTCGGTAGATAGAGTGGACCGCTCTCTTTCACAAACAAAAGTAAATGATATTAATTCGAATGACCGTCTGCAAATGCAAAATGATACCGATAATGAAATCGGTCGCTTGCTTTTCCTATTCATTCACGGCTTACGATTGTAATAAGTTTCGATTAATTCCATCAATGATATGCTGTACAAATTTCTTTGGGTTGCTTTCGGGTCGATACCTAGTATTTCGGGATAAGGGTGGTAGTTAGTGTCCAATTAGCTGATGTTTATCATTATTGCCGAGTACAGCTGCCTTCGGGTAGTTCTTGATCTATTACAATTGTAATTGTAAATGAATGGAAAAAGCGAGTGACCGATTTCATATCATTTTGCAGGTGCTGCCTGATATGGCCCCTGGGGTGTCAGTGTCCGAGCCAGCTTGAGTTGTACTTGTAGAGCTGTTGCGTAGCTTGAAATCTGAATGATTATTAAAATTATTCTGTCCTCGAATTGGCTACCTTTTTCAGGTCAGATGTATTATACTACTAACGTTCTCATTTATTCTTGAGTCATCTTTGCTTAATGTTTGACACATATCATTTCAAACTTACGTATTATTACGTATATATAGATAAGATATTAAATACAAATTAGACTACATACAAACTCTGTTTTTACCTCACTGATAGTGTTCCCCAAATTCTGTTCCATTTCTTTAACTTCCTCTGGTTCCCTCATCGCATCATGACTAATATGCACGGAGTACTATAGGGCTATTGTGTACTGGGGGTGGAGTTTGACGACATACCATCACTATTGTGCACCAAAGAAATATATCCATTATACTTGTTCCGCTGTAATGAGGGACAGTCTAAACTTCAAAACTAACTGTGTTTTGGAAGAAAATATGACATCACCATCCCCGATAGCAGTGCACTTACATTGAACATATTTAAATGTCTGATGAGCGTGACTCCTGTTCTGTTTGAGAACATGTATAACTATAAGAGGTGTCCTGGGCCCGGTAAATAAAGGGACGATGGGAGGTTCAGATTAGAGTGTGTGAAGAAGGGTTGAAGGATAAACAGTTCAAGTAAAATTATAAAACTAACAGGCATGAATAGAATAATGATGGGTCACGAAGGTTCATAAAGGAAAAGTAGCACGATTGATCTAATTCTAATCGTTGAAAGATCGTCACGATGAGCTTAAGGGGGGGGGGGGGGGGTAGTTGACCAACAAGCTAGGACCAGTGACTGAACTTTTGAGGGGGTCCCGGACCCCAACCGCCAAACGGTGCCCGCGGGGCAGCCACGCCCATATTTGGTTCAAATTAGGCCCAATTTAGCCAAATACCCTGAACATGCCCAAAATCCAGATTTTAGGTACTCTATTTGTAGCTAGTGGTCCCCTGAACTCGTATATGAATTTTCATCAAGATTAGACAAAAAATGACTGAGTTATGAGCCAAAAACCATATGACCATATTTGGGCATACGCACCAAATTTGATCGATGTTGGCCCATAAATTGGTCAAATATCAATATTTTTGAATGAAACCAACTGTATATGGAAGGTAAGCCTATACTACACATTATCTATGATTATCAGCTCAGTATCTACTTAACTGTGGATTCTGTGTTCAAATAATCGCAAAAAATGAACAAAATTGCCCATATCTCAGTTCACGTTATTTGCAAAACTGACTTTGCTCAAAACAATAGAACTCAATAGGGTTTCAATATTTTTACATGAAATTTTCAGAATCAACGTAGAATCGCATTTCGACATTAAGTTTTGTATTGGAATTTTGAGTTAGGCCTTTAAAAAAATTTGGCGGCCAAATTCTGAATTTTGCACTGCAAATTTTGGAATTTGGCCGCCAAATTTTTGTAAAGGCCTAACTCAAAATTCCAATGGTTGAAATGCAATTCTACGTTGATTCTGAAAATTTCATGTCAAAATATTGAAACCCTATTGAGTTCTATTGTTTTGAGCGAAGTCAGTTTTGCAAATATCGCGAACTGAGATATGGGTGATTTTGTTCATTTTTTGCGATTATTTCACCACAGAATCCACAGTTAGGTAGATACTGAGCTGATAATCATAGATAATGTGTGGTATAGGCTTACCTTCCATATAAAGTTGGTTTCATTCAAAAATATTGATATTTGACCAATTTATGGGCCAAAATCGATCAAATTTGGTGCGTATGCCCAAATATGGTCATATGGTTTTTGGCTCATAACTCAGTCATTTTTTGTCCAATCTTGATGAAAATTCATATACGAGTTCAAGGGACCACTAGCTACAATAGTGTATGTACTAAGAGCATCAACTTGCGGGTGAACATTTTATGTCTCAAAACCCAACATATTATACATCATTGGAAAGGTCTCATTGAGTAGAGTCATATGGTACCAAGTTTTGGGCAAATGGCTGTTCCTAGCGAAAGTTATAGCCCGTCAAAGTTCCAAAAATGACCATTTAAAAAATGGGGCGGGGCATCGTGTTCTTAAAGTTTTTGACGAATTTTTTTTACAGCATATTGTTTATCACATTTTTTTACACAAGATTTGCTGTATGCCGTAATTTTATTTTTTGATATTTTAATCAAAAATAATTTTTATTTGGATTTAAGGGTACGCGCTACGCCGCGCAGTTAGAAATCGCAATAAGGAGATTTAACCAAATTTTTTGTTGCGCAATTTTTTTTCTCATATCAAATTTACATGCTAATGTCGCATTTTCGGTTGCATCAAATTCAGCTGACGTCCACAACATGAAGTTTAAATGATCACACTGTGAAATTGGTTTGAAAGTATAATGCAAATATTCTTAGTTCTGGATAGTAATAGTATGTATACACTTAAAGGAAGAATCCAGGGTTTTTCCTATACTATCCAGTATTGTCGACTGTTCCACAAATTTGAAGATATGGTTGAATTTACTGTTGATAATGTTTATTGCTCTAGTCTGATGTATGCAATGGAATCACGATGATTGGTATCTATCTAAAAGCATATATAATGTGTAATGCAATTCATTATAGAATAAATGCAATTAGTGAAACAAATTTTAGTGAAACAAATTTAAAATTTTATCCTTTATTTTACAATCATAATATAATAATATTTATAAGCCTCCGTTTTGAAAGTTTTAAATTTTAATATATTCACATTTCTATTTAAAATTCAATTTAATGTATAAGTCAATAACTGGCCGCCAAAGCCGCGCATTCTTAAAAACATGATTAAATTGTTTATGATTATACGACAAATAGAAATACATTTAAAATTATCCGTGGTTTTTTTAAAAATAAATTATAATCTTACCTAAATCCAAAGCCAGCTTTGTAAAATTTACTTTTAGATCAAAATATATCGTCAATTCTAAATATTTACAATGCAACATTTCATTAATTTACATACAAGCGTACTCCAGCCCCTGCACGCATCCGTTCTTATGCGGCGCGGCTCAAGCCGCGCACGCACGTATTATTTTATACTTTTTGCTTTCTAATAAATATCGTGTCAATGTGTACGTCTAAATGTTCATGCTTTGTGTAAACCGAATCCAATTTGAGATTAGTGACAAGGATAAGGACCCAAGTGCCTGTACGGCTTTTTCGGACCCCTGTGGACCACTACTCTTGAAGTCGCTCTACAACTATTGAACATTTATAACTGTTGTATAATATATAACGACATTTGACAATTATTATCATTAATCTATAATCTAGCTGTCTTGCTGAGGGGGAGGAGTAAACGCTTCACAAACTAAAGTGCTTACAACATACAAAATTTAAAACCATCAACACGGTTATAGTTCATATCAAGGGCCAATTTGGTATACCTCTATTTCGTTGTAATATCTAGTATATCTTCACATCTTAATACTATAATGAAATACAATAGGATACATGTTTCGAGAAAGAAAGGTTAGTCCGATTATTAACAAAAGTAAACAAAAGTCCATCAGGGACTCCACGGAGTCGAAAAAGATACACGGCTGCTGTCTGGTGCTGCTAGGCATTTATTGATCAAGATGTTTTATTGTATTGGTTTTTGATGATTCTAT